TAATATCTGTGATGGTGAAAGTGCAATGGCCTAACATATTATTGAATTTTAACTTCCAATTCATAACATAGTTATGCACAAATGCAACTACTTTTCATCGTTTCAAGCAACATGTGACTTTCTGCAAGAGTAGATGTTCATACAATATTGTAAAAAATGCTAAATAGAACACTGGGGCCTTAACCTTTGAAACACAGGTGTAATAGGACTAATGGAACAGTCCGTAATCCTGTTAACTCCTGTTTGGATAGGTAACCCTTGGTTAGCGCTATATCTAATAAAACTCTGCATAGTCAGACAGAATCAATCAGAAATAGTACGAAGTCAATATTAAGAAGAGCGAAGAGAGAAGGTAATACATGTATTAATATTAGAAGTATTAAAAAGGTGTAAGGAAATTAAGGTTAGGGTGCAGAGCGCCGGTTTACTGTGAGTCAAGCAATTGAGGTAAAATGCAGGGTGTAGTAATCCTGAATAAGGCTGAGGAACCTGATCTCGGAACCAGTGTCCAGTCATCGTACATGTACCCGGTTACAAAGAACGTCCGATTGTGTCCCTCTGTTTATGTATATAAAACAGGACAAGTATCCCATGAAAATAAATATTCAGTGTTGTAAACAATATTAATTCCTGGTATTAATTGTATGATCAAATAGGTTCAATATATATATCTGTCGCCTCTTGACTTATCCTTGCATATTATTATTCCCTGATGACAGCGGAAACTTTTAATATTTCTGACAAAAATTTTCAAAAATATCATCTTGGGTTTAGAGGAACGGATAATAATTACATTCAAAAGTATCTGCATAACACACCACACGGAAAACATTTATCACAGATCCATACATCGTTTAGTAAATGAACTACAGTTTTAAGTGTTAGTGTGGTGAAGTGCGTTACAAAAGCAGAGATGTCACCTACTGCATTGTTTTGAATGAATTTCAAAGAATTGTCAGAAACTCATAGTTAAACTTCCTGTACGATTAAGATGTATTTCCTTTAATTATTTTTGGGTTCCAACTACAGGATTATTACAGCTTATATTTTTATTCCTAATTAATATGAAATACTGTTCCATATTTATTTTTCTAACAGGTACAATGAATGTTATTTCAGCAAAAGCATTGGGAATTTGTTCGAATGCATCCATTGGGTAAGTAAATATAAATGTCTATAAGATACTCTGATTCTGTTTTGTAATTACTTACAAAATTAAAATCAAGATCATAAAATGGTATTGATCTTTATTTGTATTAATATTTTAGGCAATCTGATATTTCAACCTTTTCAATATTTTTCGAAAACCTAATTCGTTGAAATCAAACTTCCATAATATATTTTTTCATAGATTTTTCAGTTTGATGTTTTTTTTTTTTTTTTTAAATACGTCATATAATACCAACATTATCAATTCTAATAAGTTATTGATTGTTAACATTTACTTTATATTTCACAAATTGATCGAAAATGTAGAAATTATATATACATTGTAAAACAGTATATTCCTAATAAATTTGTATAGTATTTAATTAATACTTATAGACAAACCTTATATATACATTTGTATTGCTTCTCAATATTATATGCATTGTAATAGGTTAATACGTGACCTAATCACACTGCCTAATATCTTCCGGTACATAAATATAAAATGACTACAAAAAAGTTTTTTTCATGTATAGAATGAACAAAATACTCAGATCAGGTAAATTAATAATTGTTTTATTCACACATATACAAAAGTATTTAATATATTTAATACAGGTTTTTTTTGGCGATTGATTTAACCTGTGTACATAGAGAATATACCGGTAGAAAACTAGCTTTTGTGTACAAGTTTTATGTCAGCTGCACATGTCAATCTCTAAAGTTTACCCTTATTTTTTTGGTAGATCTATAGTTTTAAAATCTTTTTTATCAACTAAAATTTTTTCATTAAATTCTACTCCCGATAAAATTGTAAATCTGTTGGAAAATATCAAAGCATTGCAATCACACAACGAACAGCTGGCAAACATAAAAAGACTTCGGCGTTGTCTTTACAATGTAAGCTGTCGCCAGTGTCTCTGTGTCATCATCATAAATATGCACTGAAATGGAAGAATTAATGTTTTTGATCGAATTTTATACTTGATTGCAAGTTAACTGACTCGAACAAGTGTCTCCATCGATCCCTTTCGAAATTCCTCAAACTTGTTATCATCAATCTTTGGACGTGTTTCTGGTATCTTTTCAGCATTGATTATCATTTTTCACGAATACAAATATCTCAACAACAATCTATTCATGAAATATAATACTTTTCCTGATGAATTCGAAGCATACTACCTTTCAAGCCGATTGACACTTTGCATAATTTTTCAAAATCTGCAATGAACGGTTAGTGCAATAATTTATATTTGAAAATATTCAATTGTCCCTCTCAGATGTATATATAAGTAATGAATTACAAGTTTCAAAATTTCAATGAGAATTAAAGTGGCTCGGTACATGATTAAATTTTCGAAGAAGGCCTTCGGCAGAAATCTAATTTAACAGGATTTGATCACGTGTACCCATCGCCTTAAAAGGATTATTGATCACGTGACCACCCACTTCAATTAAATGAAAATGTTAAACTTGTTATTTATTTCTTGAATAATACTTATCTTTATAAGTCTTTTAGTTCATATCATTTTAAATTTCTTTAAAATTGCAAAGAAAATGTGAGCCATAAACTAAATGATGTTTAAAACTTTCTTTGGGAAGATTCAAATTTATGAGTGTGCAGATTTAATAGTTTGCTTGTATGGTATCACTTAGAAAATAGACCTCTCTGCTTGCCAGTTGAGACCTTTAATTTTATGTTCTGTATTCGACACTTTCCACCATTGCTCATTTTTTGTCCCATACCTATTGATATCGGTACCTCGGATAAAACTTTATCTCTGAAAGACTGTTTTCAACGTTAACGTCCTGCTCGGTTGCCCTCTCTCCCGGCCGACGGACTAAAATGGCTCGCCTAATTTTTTTTTACATTCCAAGACACAATATGTTTGTAAATTCCTCTTTTCCCGTAACAAATATGCTGAAAATTTCTTGGAAAAAAAATGTTTTCGACACACCAAAGCGGGGGACGTACAGATACTGTATACAGGGTCATTTTCGCCCCACCGAAGCGGGGGTCGTCACTTGCAAACATGTAATTTAGATAACAGTTTTATAAAAAGTAATTTTTGAACATTCTAGATTTACTAATGCGAAAATTTAGTACAGTACTAGATACTTTTTATAATACTTTTAAGGTAGTGATTGCATGGACAGTAAATTTGCTAGTCTCCTAAGTGACTTTACCTAGATATTTTTTTTCAGTGTAGTAGGGCAAGCGGTAAATCTAGTCTTCCAGACTTTCGACGCCCAACTCCAGACGATCACAGATTTCGGTTTATGAGCAGAGTAGGTGACAATGCTGATTCAATATAATAAACGTAATTTTAATGACCATTTTGCCTTTGGGAATTGCTATCAACGAAGAAGATGTGAATGAAAACTTTGAAGAGTGTCTGTACAGCGATAAAAAAGATATCGATAAAAAATCGAAATATGGTACCTTCGGGGGTCGGAAAGACTCAATTTATCGCTTGCCCTATAATGTTTTTACATGTTTGTACTGATTGTACTATTTTTATTATTATATTGAATTTAATAAAAATTGTTCCTATTCTTAATATGCTGTAGGGAACCTCTGCAATGTTGTGAAAACTATCGCCAAGTAGGAGAAGCTTGTGAAGGTACGGCAGATAGTTTAAAAATATTATTAGCATGTATTAAATGAAATAAATTCATTTACATAATCAAATCAATGGTATCGGTAGATGACATTGTTTAAAAGTTAAAAAAAAAAACATTGTTAAAATTTTTTGAAATATTCCCAAAATTAAAGAGACGCTAAGCAATCAATTTGTAAAAATAATCTGTAAGTGACCTTTAAACATTCCTTGAATTTCGGATCAACAATATCTATATATGAAGATCAAATTTTTAAGTAATCTGTCTGAATTCCTATGTCTATAAAATGCACTATACATTGCGTTTTATTATGAGACTTATTTTTGCTTTCATATGCATGATTAAACCTTGACCAATTTTGAAATCTTTCGGTATTGCAAGCTCATGCCTCAACTAAGTTTTGAAACTAGTAATACCTATGTATAAAGGACTTTTAATCACAATTAATTACATATCTGCACGAGAGGTTCTTTTTTGAATAATATTTAATTAATGTTTTCTTCTAATTTTATTATTTGTGTTTATTATCATTATCTAACTTCAAGGTATATTCAATTTCTTTTAAATTACTTTTACTTTTTAAGAATGTTGGCCAGGGACATATACATCGGGCTGTATCCCCTGTCCTTCAGATTTTTATGGAAGGTTCTGTCAAAAGTCATGTAATCAGTGTAAATCATGTGACGCAGTTACTGGATGTGCAACAAATAAAGGTATATTAAGTTTACATGCAGCCCAATTTACTTTTGTAAACATCAATAGCTACACACATCTGGAATAACAGTTACATAGAAAGAATTTAATTTTTGGAAAATGACTTTGAAAATTGGGAAACAAACTTAAGGTACACCCAGAAAAATATGAAGAAGTGTATAACTGCATCTAAATACTTGTGTAAGTGGAATATTTAAATCGTTTTTTATCTAACAACGACATCGATTTCAATGATGAAAGAGTCTCCGATACGAAGTGTGGCAAATCTCTAAAATCCTATAAGCAAAAAAAAAATCGTGAGCAGAGCAAATTCTGATCCTAAGAAATGGTTGTAGAGGAATCATATGCCTGCCGGTCCACGATCAATTGGCCACAATGGAGTAATCGATGGTCAAAAGATGTTTAAAACAATGACCTAACACATCGTATATGATAATTATGTTTGTCATTTATGGTTTTACAAAACCGTAATATAACTGGGAAAGTTATATGTGATTTAATAGTAGATATACAATAAGACATTTTTAAAAATATTTTAATGTAAAGGGTATATTTTTTGAAAATCCTGCACATCAGCTTTCATGTTAGTAATCTTAGTCTGACTGAAAATATATTTTATGTATTTCAATTTACCAGTATACTTGTAAATCAGTACTGACGTCCTTGAAAGACATAAAGGATGTTGCAAATGACCATGGAAAAGTCTATGCCAACACCTTTTTGGTTAAATGATCATTTTAATCAAATTCTTTATTTTACGCTATAGTAACTAAAATTATTAATATGGTTCATTATTATAAAGAAGTCGATGGCGTAATAACACATACCTCGATAAATCCTCACCAGAATGTAATTCACCTCATCTGTATCCATTTACTTAAGAAATAAGATATCATTTTTAGAGTTTTATTGGGAAATTACATGAAGTCGGTCACGTGATCAAATTCCATAACGCCCGAAGAGCGTTATAGTAGATTTGATCAAGTGCCGACTTCAAGTCACATCCTAATGAAACTCTAAAAAATATTTTATTTCTTATATTTATATTTTACGTTTTCATTCATGTTACAAAGAAATATAGGCATTATTTAGACTTTGAATTTGAAGTGCAACGTAACGGTACTGCGACGTCATATGACGTCACAGATGGAACTTTTCAAATTGCTCGTGTAGTTTGCTTTTCATACGCAAGAAAATCTGATCATGTGACCAACTGCATGTCACTGAGAATTGAATTTCAATTTTATTAGCATTGTTTTATAAGGAAAGAAATCAGCAAATGTAAATATATACACTTTATGAACATGTTATTGGCAATTCATATGATATGTGACTCTAGTATAACAGTGGTTGATTTGAGTATTCTACTATAATTTTTTATTAGATTCTACTGGTGGACTCACAAATGAAAACACACATCAAGGGACTCAATGGATAGCTATAGCAATATCAGTGACAAGTAGCTTAAGCGTTGTGATTACAGCTTTTATGTGTATTTATTGTAAACATTTAAGGTAGGTTATTTCAGGAAATGTTATATTATAAAAATACTCTCTAATTACATAAAATCAATTCGTTTAAAACAAAACAACAACCTTTGTAAGTTGATCCCACGTTAAAAATTGTTTCATGCAATTCTGAGTGTCATTATTTAGAAAGGCTTTTTAAACAGGACAACTACATAAAAACGATTTTTATGAAAACCAAGGTACCAATAATTTTATACACATTAAAAGCTGTTTCGTCATTTTTTTTCTATTTCAGGTAAATCTTGCATTCACAAATATGAATATTTATGTATTGTGTCATATTTTTAGCAAGTTCAGCTCCAGGAATGTGGAAAAACAATATGGCTTATGGACTTAAATTTGCACGAGAAAAAGATCTTGTGATAACCCTACTTGTCAATATTATTTAAGTAAAAAATTCTGTGGACAGGTCATGTGGATAATGGACCTTACGGTACTTTAACCTTGAAAAACATCAAAGACTTTGTAATATAAACGTTTCTTTCATGTTCAATATATGTCAGGTAGATATTGAAGCCAATTTCGCTATGTATTAGTTGAACTTGCATACTTTTCCACGTGTTTGTTGAAATTCTCATTTCGAGAGGAAACAAATAATGGTAATAGCGAGCGCATAAGGTTATACACATTAAATGCTGCTCTCGTCAGCGAGCTCATTTAGTTAACGTGTACGAACAGATGAAATTCAGGTGTGAAATCTAGTAAACATTGAATGCTGACGAAATTTTTATGACTCCACGTGAAAAAATTCCTAGCTAAAATTCCCAATAACCTTTGCTGTGGTCATGTGGAGCAAATGGCGGCTAAAACATTGAAAAACAACAAACTTTTGAAAAAAAATTATAAACAACTATTTAATGCAATCTCCATGCCACAAACTATCGTTTGCGTCCTCAATCAACAGGACTTTTTTTATCTGACGTCATACTTTCGTCACTTTAACGGTTCGGGTATTTCAAATTTTGCGGAAAACTTCACCGCGTATACAGCGTAAATTAATACCACGCGGGAAAAAAATACTTCTACAGTATATTGAAGCCAATATCGTTATATATCAGTTGTAGTTGCATACTTTTCAACGTGTTTGTTGAAATTCTCATTTCGAGAGGATATAAACAATGGTAATAAAATATTGCTATTAAGCTCATGGCTTACCTTGTATGTAGTCCATGATATAATTATCGGTCAGCTGGTGATCGAGATTACATGACATAGAAATTTTTAGGTAAATTTTGTCCGCATAAAAACTATGGAAAAGATACAACTATTTCCTTCTCCTAGTTATCCTATTTCCTTGTCCTATCTTCCCTAATTTTGAAGTAGAGTGTTTTGGAATATGAAATACCAAGTTTGTGTTTTCACCAATTGAATGAATAATGCTCTCAGAAACTTCCATAATACATCTGTGACATTTTTTGAAAGATATTAAGGAGTTCGTGGAATTATATTCCAGGTGTCAATAGCTGCATGTGTTGTTGTATTTTGTCTCCGGAACAGTTAAGGCCGGAAAAAGAGAGCGGGTCTAAGTTTTCCGGGAAGTATCTATCAAATATTAAAATTCACGAAAAAAATTCCACAAAGTAAAATAATTTGAGAGTTTTTGCCTCTAGGAGAGTATTAAACCACACGGGGACATAGCATTGTTGAGCAATGTATTGGTGTCAATGTTATTGATAATTCAACATTTATTTTTTAAAAAATCATGTTGATGTACTTTAATGTCCGTAATATTATGCTGTTTATTTTTTGCGTATCTATATACATTAAGCTAAAATGGACAAATATGTTTTATGAAAATACTTTAGGGAAGGTTTTACTTTATAAAATATTTTATGAAATGTTTGTGTTTAAGTTTTGGCTTTAACACTTATACATGTATCAATTTGAATGATTTATCCTTGTTTTTTCATGAAATTTTATTTTATTCTGATTATGCTATTTAATGCAGTAAATTCAATTACGATGAATAAAATATTTTGTCCAAATACATCCACTTGATAAAAGTCGCCGGCCACGTGGAACAGTGGTAAGAGCATCTGCTCTAAAATCGCGAGGTAAGGGGTCGACCCATGAGGCAAGGCTAGTGAGGCATGACATCTTTTTCTGCTCACTGCTCACTGTTCCTACATGACTAAACTGATAAGAAAGAACATATCATTTTGGTCTCTTTGTCCGTTTGTCTATCACGCATTTGTTTCTGTCTTTAAGGTTTTCGTTTTCGAATGGCAACTCTGAAATAACTCCATGTTTTGTAACAGTATATGTAACAGATCATTGAATTAGATAAACGATTATTTTGATTTAAAAAGTTAAGACGGAAAATTACATAAAGTCGACGATTTTTCTGAAGCCTTGAAACTATCAAGATTCCTATTGATATAAGCAATATCAACACATAAATAAATTATTAAAACTTGCTTATTTATATTATTTTCAAAGTATACACCATTGATGTGAAACTGATATTAAGGAAGGTTTG